GTAAAAATTTGGCGTGCAGGGCCACTATATATTTAACAGAGTTTTTTTTTAGATTCATTTTGAATATATTTTATTTGCAATTTTTAAAAATTTTTCGCGAATTTTTTTCTCAATTGTTTTTTCTTTATGTTGCAAAATCTATAAGACTTAGAAATATGAAATTTTGAATGTGCGTGGAAAATACGCACAGACTTAGAAAGAAAACAAGAAAAGACAATTTGATTATTAGTTTCATTTTTTTAATAACCGCCGTTAAACAACCGACAAAATTTTGAGTTTACGCCCTATCAACCAGGCTATCCCGGCCAAATTTATAAGTTTTTTTAATAACAGTCATTGCACAGCCGACCCGATTTCGTGTTTACGACTACTAATATTCAACTCCGTAGCCTTGTCATTTTGAACCCAATCCAGAAGGCAAAGGAACTGATAGGTTAGTACCCAGAGGTATTTATTTGTTATGAGAACTTGGAGGACTTTGCGACCCCGACAGATTTCACATGCACCAGTCACGATTTTATACATGGGTATTCTTCTGCCGGCTGGATTCAAACTCCCATTCTCACGACCACAAGTCCAATGCCCTATCAACCAGGCTGTCCCGGCCAAATTTATTAGTTCATTTTTTATAACAGTCATTGCACAGCCGACCCGATTTCGAGTTTACGACTACTTATATTCAACTCCGTAGCCTTGCCATTTTGAACCCAATGCAGAAGACAAGGGAACTGATAGGTTGGTACCCAAAGGTATTTATTTGCTATGAGACCTTGGAGGACTTTGCGACCCCGACAGATTTCACATGCACCAGTCACGATTTTATACATGGACATGGGTATTCTTCTGCCGGCTGGATTCAAACTCCCATTCTCACGACCACAAGTCTAATGCCCTATCAACCAGGCTATCCCGGCCTAAAATAAACGTGTATAGTTATTTCAATTCCTATTCAAAAGTATTAGTTAATTTTTTTTTTCTTTTTCATTAATTTTTTTGATCTGAAAATTTCTGTCCTTTTTTAGATATTTTAAAGTGCTATTTAAAACTGCTGCATATCACATGAAAGCATTAAATATATCATTTGTACAATTTTAAAGTAAAATAAAAGGGAATCCTGATCCTTAGAAACAGATATTAAATAATCTGATGATCGAATGATGGGACAAAAAAAAAACTTTTTTACCTTTTAAACTAAAAAATTCTTTATTTATAAGCAAATTATTAATACTCAAATTGCTTGAAAGATGATATGTTCCCTACTAATGACAACGAAGTTTTTTGCTTTATTCCGTCATTTATTTATATTTATTATGTCCGGCAATGTAAAAAAGAAAAAAAAATGCACTTAGGGGTTCTGAGAACCCCAGCTCCGATTGAAACTTTAAAAAAAGAGGGGGAAAGTAGGATCTGGGGGCCCTTGTCATCTCGGGTTCCCCAAGCTACAGCTTATTTAGCTTATACGTAAATCCGGCCCTGATTCCTACACAGTAACACATAAGTCTTATTTCAGGGTCACCACTCAAATCTGGAGAAAAAAAATTCCCTGTGTTTTCCCTATAGTACATATTATACACAATATATTAAGAGGAAACACACAATCACTANCATCTCGGGGCCCCAAGCTACAGCTTATTTAGCTTATACGTAAATCCGGCCCTGATTCCTACACAGTAACACATAAGTCTTATTTCAGGGTCACCACTCAAATCTGGAGAAAAAAAATTCCCTGTGTTTTCCCTATAGTACATATTATGCACAATATATTAAGAGGAAACACACAATCACTGTGCTGTTGAGTGAGCTATATTAGGCTACTTAAACTAGTTTTAATAGCTGGAAATAAGAAACAATTTAGTATACTTAAAACAAATAATACTATTGTAAATGAAATAGTTTAGTATAGCTGAAATATCAGGCAAGTTTAGTTGACCTAGGCAAGTTCAGTTCACCACTATAGATAGGTACTGATATGTAAACATACCCGCTTCTATTTACCATCATAATTTTGCCTTTAAGTGACAGAACTGTAAAAGTTACATTTTACTATTTAGCCAATAAAATAAGTACAGTATTATAGCATAGTACAAAATTATAGAGTTTAATTTATTTTTTTATTCAGGATACTTATTTCACATTAAGGATTTTTTTACAATTACACCCTACAATTTGAAAAATTTTAAAAGAAAAACGAAAAACTTTAATAAAATGTAGGATATTAATAATATATTAGCAAATCATATTAATATTTAAACCAGGAGAATTTCAAATTAATTTTTCTTTTGTTATAATGGAACTCAAAAATGATTAGATAGAAATTATTTAATTTACAATACACGTTTTGTTTTTAAGTTATTCATGGTTATATTTAATAATTTGAATGATTTTAAAATATAAATTTTTTTTTTGACTTACATTTGAAATATATTACTCCTGAAAATATAATATTATTAATATGATGCAAGGATATTATACCCAGTAATTAAAATACTAATTTAGCATTTAAGTTATTACAGCTATATCTTACAATCTGTTCAATTTTTACATAAAAAAATTTTTTTGCACAAAAATAAGTGGAATATTCTAATTAAGGATTTTTTTTTCTGAATAATTTGCAAATTCACTTGTTTTATATGTTCTCTTTACTAAATAGAAATGTTTTAAATCCAGTGCACTTAAGAGGATGCCAAACAATGGGATAAGTCATTCATGGCAAATTCTCTTTCACCCATATAAATAATTTATAGTATAGAAAAAGCGAGTCCAGGAAAACCATGGAGTTTCAAATGTTTCCAAAATATTGAAATGCAAACAAATTATGATTGGATTACGCTATAGGTAAGCCCTTCCCCAATAATTTGTTTGCATTTTAATATTACAAAAACATTTTTTCAACGTTTGAAACTCCGTGGTTTTTTCTAAGTTAACCAGAACTAATTTTTTTTCTCTAAACTTTAAATTATAGCTTACTAATAATGGAGATGAAGAATTAGCAATGAAAACCTTTCTTCAACAGAATAGTGTTCCCTTAAATATTAACTTAAGTTATGTTGTTAAATTGAAAGGCAATTAAAACAAATAATAACTTAGCAATTTTTTAAGCAAAACAAGACATTTTCGATATCAAAACAAATTGCATATTCTAGTCCGTCAATGTGAAGCTAACTCTCCCCACCATTCATTAACAGTAGCAGTGGTAACCATGTTAATGATGTTTTAACTATTTTAAATAGGGATGCTGGGTCAACATGAGAGATAGGTTTTGGCTCAGATCGGTAAGAGAAAGAGAATTTTGCTTCTTTGGTCAACTTCAAAGCTCCTCTCTTTCATATGAACTATTTCTTGCTTCGACAGCAGCAGATGGCTTTAGACTAGGCAGCACAAAGCTTTATACAGGCAGACTATACTTAACTATATATTTTTGGTACATTGAATATTTCATTTGGAAATATTATTTAATAACTAACGTTGAACAACCGACCAAATTCTGAGTTTACGAGTACATCATTGTTCTACTCTGTAATCTTGGAATGCTGAACTCAACCAAGAAGTCAAGGGAACTTCTGGATCATGCATTGGAACAAACTAGCCTTCGTGGTGGACTTTTTGGTGTAAATGAAAATCAAATTCAAAAATCCTGCAATAACAGCTTCTTCCATAGCAATTGCATAAGATAAATAATCTAAAGCAGCACCACCATATTTTTTTTTTATTTTTTTATTTACATAGCCAGATAATATACTTTTGGTACGTTGAATATTTCTATTGAATTTTTATAGAAGATTTATATAGACAGACTATACCTAACTATATACTTTTGGTACAACTAATATTTCATTTTAAAAACTGTTTTTTTTTAAATTTTTTATTACTGGTGTTGAACAGCCAACCAAATTCTGAGTTTATGACTATCACTGTTCCACTCCATAGCCTTAGTAGGCTGAACCCAACCAAAAAGACAAGGAAACTTCTGGATCAAGCATTGTGACAACCTAGCCTTCGTGGAGGGCATCTTGGTGCAAATTAAAACCAAATTCACAAATCTTGCAAAATAATACTTAAAACCACAATAAATGTGAATACTTACATCATTGACACCCATGATCACACCACAAGATGCACAGCCTCTAGATACTTCCTCCATAGTTATTGCATAAGCTAAATAATCTAAACCAGCACCTCCATATTTTTCAGGTGTGGATATGGCAAGCATACCAAGTTCTCCTAACTTTTTTATCTTTTAAGAGAAAACTATGCTTTAATATATAAACTCCTGTTTGTGAAAATTGCAACACCATGAAGGAATCGTCATAATTGAATGAAATTTAATACACAGTTGAGTGGTAGTGGTACAAATAAATAATTAAACTTTCAAAGCAAACATACAATAACAAGAGATCGAAATCAGTATTTTGTGTAGCCACCACGCTCTGCAATAAGCACTGCTACACGACGTGGCATGGAGTCAAGCAAACTTTGAATGTCTGTCTGAGGAAGAGAATTCCATACTGTTTGTATGCGTACCCAAAGTTCGTCTGTAGAAGCAACAGGACGAGGATTACGAGCGAGACGCCGACCAACGAAATCCCACACATGTTCAATCGGCGACATATCCGGGGAATACGCCGGCCAAGGAAGAAGTTGTACCTGTCGCGATGCAAGGAAGGATTGAACAGTCCTAGCAATATGAGGGC